GGTATTTGAGAATGAAACTTTATGAAGTTTAGAAACCACGGATATATCAAATGATTGATACATGATTATTCATGAAATCTGGCATGTAAAAATTAAGAGATACTTCTGCATACTATCCCAATGAATGCCAAGGAAATTACAATTTTAAAGGTTTCTTCAAGAAAGCCTACTCAACAGTCACAAAAACACACTGAATAAACTACCCCTTTCAGGCAAATTTAATAGTAAGATGAACAGATGTAGCCCAAGGTTGTTTCTCCTCAAATTTCAAGTAAGATAAAGACTTATGATCTTCGTATTCTTAAGCAATTCATTCATTAATCCATTCAGTAATTACATATTGTGCTACTATTTGCCAAGGACAGTTTACACTTTCCACCTATCATACGTAAATCTAACTGAATGACCAATTCAAATTATTTCATAAAGTAAAAACAAAAGAGAAAAATAATGAAGTAATCAAAAATATCACATTTTAGTGGGGCCTAAATAGCTCAGTCAGTTGAGCGTCCAAGTCCTGATTTCGGCTCAGATCATGATGCCAGGCTCATGGGATTGAGCCCTGCCTTGGGCTTTGTACTGAGCATGGAGCCTTCTTGAGATTCATATTCATTCATTCATTCATTCATTCATTCTCTCTCTCCCCCCCCCCTTTTCTCTCTCTCCCTATCTCCCTAACTCTTGCTCCCACGCTAACTCTCACTTGCTCTCTCTAATTAAAAAAAACAAAAGGGCACCTGGGTGGCTCAGTTGGTTAAGCATCCGACTTCGGCTCAGGTCTCGATCTCACCGTTTGTGAGTTCAAGCCCCAAGTCGGGCTCCATGCTGACAGCTTGGTCTATCAATAGACGGCAGTGTCTATCAATAAATTAACAAACTGGGACACGTGAGTGGCTCAGTTGGTTAAGCGTCTGACTTCATCTCAGGTTACAATCTCACAGTTTGTGAGCTTGAGCCTCACGTTGGGCTCTGTGCTGACAGCTCAGAGTCTGGACCCTGCTTTAGATTCTGTCTCCCTCTCTATCTGCCCCTGCCGCTCTCACACTGTCTCTTTCTCTCTCTCAAAAATAAACATTAAAAATTTTTAAAACAAAAACTAAAATTAAATTTAAAAAATCGTTTAAGGGGCGCCTGGGTGGCTTAGTCGGTTGAGTGTCCGACTTTCGCTTAGGTCATGATCTCGCGGTTCGTGGGTTCGAGCCCCGCGTCGGGCTCCGTGCTGACTGCCAGCTCAGAGCCTGGAGCCTATCTCAGAGTCTGTATCTCCCTCTCTGACCCTCCCCTGCTCACGCTGTCTCTCTCTCTCCTAGAAATAAATGAAACATTAAAAAAAAATTTTTTTTAAATAAATAAAAATAAAAAATCGTTTAAAAAATTACATTTTAGATAGCAACGCATTTCTTAAACCTTGAAAAGTTCCTTCTTTTTGTGTATGTGCTTTTATTTATTGTTGATGTTTATTTATTTATTTTGAGAGAGAGAGTGCACAACCTGGAGGAGGAACAGAGAAAGAGGGAAAGAGAATCACAAGCAGCCTCTGCACTGTCAGCACAGAGCCGGATGCAGGGCTTGAACTCACAAATCGTCAGATCATGACCAGAGCCATAAGAATCAGATGCTTAACTGAATGAGCCACCTAGGTGCCCCAGGTGTATATGCTTTTAAGTATAACAGGTTTGAAGGAAAAATTAACTACTGGGAAAATTTTTTCATTCAGCACCTCACCCCACACATCAACATATATTCTGGTCACTTAGAGGTGACCAACTGAAACTCAAAGTACAACAGATGGATGCCAGGGCATGAATACAACTTGTGGGTCAGTCACTAAAAAATAAGGGCTTTAAGAAAATAATGGAACGAAGAAAGCAAATGCAAGGAATCTAAGTGGGGATAGGAGCAATTTCAGGATCTGGAAGACATTATGAAATGTGATACTGAAATGGCAAAGAAATTGACTATATACTAACAAAAGTAAGGGTCAGGTCATATATTAATTATAATCCTAAAGAAAATAAACTAGGTGGAAGGTTTAAAAAATGTCAGCAAATACCTGCTACAAATATATGCATCCATGTACACAAAGAAATACAAAAAAAGGTTCTGATCTTTGATTGAGAAACTAACTCAAGGTGCTAGGTCCTGGAATTCAGAGATAACAAACCAGATAAACTGAATTAGCAGTGGTTAAATAAGACTGCCTAGGTTTGAAGCTGCGTTCCACAATTTATTAGCTATGTGACTTTGAACTAGTTCCTTGCCCACTCATTAGTTTCCTTGTCAGTACTTAACAGTTCTTACCTCATAAGGTTGTTGTGAGGATTAAATGACATGATGCAGATAATGCAACCTAGCAGTGGGCATGGAGTAAGTAAATAATAAATGTTAGTTCTTATGGTTACGACTGTCTTTCAGGAACTTCCAGTCTGTCAGCAGAGACAAACAAGAAGCTCAACACCTCAAGTTCTCATAGACATATACAAAGAGTTTATGGAAGTCCAAAGTTACTGCCCCCACTAAAAACATGAAAGGGCCACAACAGTCATTGCTACAGACCACATACCAATTTTATTCACAGCATAGTTTAATCATGACTAAAGACTTCGTATATCATATACACAATCATAAACATGGTTTACATCATAGTGAAACTAAAAAACATCTACATTTCTGTCATGCCCACAATAGAGATAGGAGCACAAGTCTAGCATTTAAACTGATGACCAAACAATCCTTCTCAGAAAAAGATTCTATTGTTTTAACTACTAATATTGTTTTTAAAAAATCTACGGAAAAATTCACCAGAAAAAGACTTAGAATTAAACTCTAGTCTTATACTAAGTGAATACAGGTTTAGTGACTTAAACTGCAAAATACCCAATTCTAAAACTTTCATTCAATAAAAGTGGGTAAGTCCTATGGAATAATACATGACAATGAGAAAGAATGAAATCTGGCCATGTGTAGCAACATGGATGGATCTTGAGGGTGTTATGCTGAGCGAAATAAGTCAGGCAGAGAAGGACAGATACCATACGTTTGCACGTATAGGAGGATTAGAAGGAACTTAACAGAGGACTGTGGGGGAGAAGAAGGGGGAAAATAGTGGGGGAGAGGGAGGGAGGCAAACCATGAGAGACTCTTGAATGCTAAGAACAAACTGAGGGCTGACAGGGGTGGGAGAGGGGGAGGGGAGTGATGGGCATGGAGGGGGCACTGGTTGAGATGCCCACTGGGTGTTATATGGAAACCAACTTGACAATAAACCATTTAATAAACAAACAAACAAATAAATAAAAATAAAAGTGGGTAAGTCCTAAAATATGCTAGACACCATGTGGAGAGCTGGAGAGAGGATGATGTGCAAAAGCAGACAGATACCCCTGTTATCACAGGATTTACAGTCTAGAGGGCAGACAAATGTTATTTGATAAAATTACAATATAAGAAGAAAATCTGGGTGGGACAGAGAGTGGAAAACATCCTTCTCACCTTTAATCTACATGGGAAAAAGTGATTATACATAATATTGCAAAAAATAAAATTAATAAAACTGCAGTTTCTAACTGCCTTAGCAAACTGATCCATATAGTTAATTAAGTAGCCAATTGGAAGTGGGAGTCAGGGGCACCTAGCTGCAATAAGTCAGTTAAGCACTGGACTTTTGATTTTGGCTCAGGTCATATCACAATTTGAGTTAGAGCCCCACATCAGGTTCCATGCTGACACTGCAGAGCCTGCTTGGATTCTCCCCCCAACCTTTCTCCTCTTCCCCAGCTTGCACACGTGCACACACTCTTTCAAAATAAATAAATAAATAAACTTTAAAAAAGTGGGAGGCCTGGGGAGCTCAGTCAGTTGAGGGTCCATGTTCTCTTGGTTTGTGAGCTCATTGCTGTCAGCACAGAACCCGCTTTGAATCCTGTCTACCTTCCTCTGCACCTCCCCCACTGGCGCTCTTTCTCTCAAAAATAAATAAACATTAAGAAAAAAAAAAGTAGGACTGATGAGAAGTGCCTGTCTGGCTCAGTCCTTGGGGCATGTGACTCTTGATCTCAGGGTTGTGAGTTTGAGCCCCACACTGTGTGTAGAGATTACTTTAAAAAAATAAAATCTTTTTTATTTTTTTTAATGTTTATTTATTTTTGAGAGAGAGACAGAGACAGAGCATGAATCAGGAAAGGGCAGAGAGAGAGGGAGACACAGAATTCGAAGCAGGCTCCAGGCCCTGAGCTGTCAGCATGGAGCCAGACAGGGGGCTCGAACCCACGAACCACAAGATCATGACCTGAGCCAGAGTTGGACACTTAACTGACTGAACCACCCAGGTGCCCCGAAAACTAATATCTTTTAAAAAAAAAAAAAAAAAGTGGGAGGTATGATTTGCCTTTAGCCTTATTACATACTAATGAGATGAAGATATGCCAGTTTAAATAGTCTTGCATTTTCACTGTCAATTTTTGCAAAGGAAATATGTGTACACAAACCTACATAGGCTCAGAAAAACCTGTCTAGACAACCTTTAGATTGTAATGCCTAGTAACAATCCACTAGAGAAAAAAATGTCTTGTGCGTGAGAAATTATGTAATATAATCACACCATAGGGGCGCCTGTGTGGCCAGTTGGTTAAGCATCTGACTCTTCATTTTGGTTCAGGTCATGATCCCAGGGTTATGGGATCAAGCCCACTCCGTGCGGGGTGTGGAGCCTGCTAAAGATTCTCTCTCCCCCTGCCCTTCTCCACCAAGTAATCTCTCTCTAAAACAAAACAAAACAAAAATAATGGGGCACCTGGGTGGTTCAGTCAGTTAAGCATCCGACTTCGACTCAGGTCATGATCTCAAGGCTTATAGGTTCAAGCCCCACACTGGGCTCTGTGCTGACAGTTCAGAGCTTGGGGCGTGCCTCGGATTTTGTGTCTCTGTCTCTCTCTCTACCCCTCCCCCTCAGCCCTCTGTCTCTCTCTCTCAAATAAACATTTAATTAAAAAATTAATTAAAGCTTTGCACAGTGGCAGTATCGTAGCCAATGAGGTTTATCCGAGGCACGATTATTGCTAATTAAAAAATTAATTAGAAAATAGGGGCGCCTGGGTGGCTTAGTCGGTTGAGTGTCCGACTTTCGCTTAGGTCATGATCTCGCGGTTCGTGGGTTCGAGCCCCGCGTCGGGCTCTGTGCTGACTGCCAGCTCAGAGCCTGGAGCCTGTTTCAGTCTGTGACTCACTCTCTCTCTGACCCTCCCCTGCTCACTCTCTCTCTCTAGAAATAAATAAAAAAAAACTTAAAAAATTAATTAGAAAATAATAATGACACTATAAAATATCATAGGAAGTTACAGAAAAATGAAAAAGGTAACTATTCAGTCTTTTGACTATCTAAAAAACATCTGAATATTCAACTGAATGATGTAATTTAAGAAAGTTACATTAGGAGGTACAGGCTTCCATTTATGGAATGAATAAGTCACGGTGATGAAAGGTACAGAATAGAAGATACAGTCAGTGGTGTTCTAACAGGGTTATATGGTGAGACATGATAGCTACACTTGTGGTGAGCACAGCATAAGACATAGAAAAGTCCAATCGGAACACCACGCCTCAAACTAATGTAACGTTATGTAGCAACTACAGTTTTAGAAAGTTACATTAAATCTAAAACATAAAAGTATTCAAAAGAATAGTTAAGCACCAATAACTGCCTTGAAAGAGTTAACCAGTAAAACTAGATTCCAGCAAAGAACTTCTTTTTTCACCTTCCAGAGAAATACCCTCTCCAATTATCTACCACATTCCTACTGTCTTTACTATTAATAGGATGAAAAAAGAAACCCAATAAAGGTCATTAGTCACTTTACTAGAATAATTCTACAAAAAAATTTTAGAAATGGGGATTATAAAGACTTTCAAAATTGTATCTTAAAAAGGGTATATATTTGCAGTCCTATGATTTCCTTTCCTAAGTGAATCCCTAATTGGTCCTGGGCAACCTATGTACAGGAACTGTTTTCTTATTCTCTTTCACATTCCCAAGGACAAAACGTAAGAGATGTGCAACAAATGTCCTTGGATAGGAACAAATCACCATAGCGACAACATCTTTTATACTACATATTGCAGTGGCTAAATTCCTTTCATATTTCAAAATTATCACAAGTACAGTTACATATAAACTTACACCCATATTTGCAGGATTTGCCATTTAAAATTCATGTAAAATTGCAATTTATGAATTGTAAGAAAAAGCCAGTCACAGGACATTTTGCTTAAGTTTTTTTTTTTTTTACCTTAAAATGAAAGTCTTAAAATGATTTCCTCCTCAGTGTAAATGTTACTAAGTAGCCTAGAATAAAATGTAGTTTACATAATCTGTTACCACAAATATGAGAAAGAACAATTCATTCAGCTTAACACCATTACAGTACTTACACTTATTCTTGCTTCTGCCTACATACCTGCCTACTCATGGACATTTTTAAGAGTCTTTTAGAGCCTTCTTTGTAAAGAAAACAGTCGTCTTCTCTAAAAATAATGTAAAGCAGCTAATTTAATCATTGACTGTTTTCCCAAACTTCACTACAATCTTAGTTTCCAATGAGCAATTTAAGTATTTTAGTTTTATTCTATTAGTTTTGTTCCCACGATCCAAAGATGTATAGGTAAATCAGTAAATTTAGCAAGATGTTGGCAAAAAAATCTTTCTTTCTCTAATACAATTATAGTAAGCTTAGCGAATCACAATGTAGGACAAGGTCAAGAATCTTGGAAGAGGCATAAAATTACACAACTCTGACACAAAGTGACAAATTGTAGTGCCACATTGTACGCTCTCGGAGGGAGGTTCAGAGCTGTATGCAACCACTTTTTCCAAGTGAGGTAAAGATCTCTGTAAATCAAACAGGATATCTAATATCTCGTTCATCCAAAAGTGAACAGGTGGCCCTGGTACAATTCGGGTAAGATTCTGGGAGAGATGAGCAGGCTCTAAAGAGGACTTCCAAAAGCACCATCCATTCATCTCCGCAAATTCCGACTAAGACCCCCACCCCGTTGCAGGCACTGCGGAACTGAAAAGAATCAGCCTCCCGACTCTGCTCTCTGGAAGACAGGGTCAAGTGGCACGCAGGGAGAAAGCACATAAACAGGCACTAGGAATCTTGTATGCGAGTTCTGAGGTATGCATCGAATCTGTATTTTTCACCCATGCATACTCAGGCCAGAGTGTTACATACAGCAAGTGCTCATTAATTGTTCAGTGTACGAATGAATAAATAAACATGAAATGCCAAGAGGAGCCCCGGGTTGCGGCTTCATATTCACCGCCGTCGCCTTGGCCTAGCTGCCCACTATCACCCGCTCATATCCCCGGCCGGGAGGTCACCCTCCTCTCCACAGGCAGCTGCAGTAACCAAAGGTGAGCTTGAGCTCGGACCCAGGCTGCGCCAGCCGCCCGCCCCAGGGCTGTACTTACCGTTGGTGTAGAGAGACCCCGAGGCCGAGGCGGCCCCGTTCTGGGCCTGGAGGGAGGCTGGGGCGCCGCCGGAGACCGGTATCCCCGGCTGGGACATGACGACGGTGCGTATCGGGATTGGAAAGACGCTGTTCGGGGTCTGCGACAGCGCAAACGAAGAGGTGAAAGACGACCGCTGGAAGCGGAGAGAAGGCGCTAACAACTCGACTGAGGCGAGGAGGAGAAAAGGCGGCGCATCAAGCCTTAGGGACAAGACGGCATTCTTCCCAGCCCCTCAGCGGCCACGGCTTGGCTTGGGAGGTGAGGCTTGGAAATCAGACTGGAGAAGCCGAGAACGACCGGCTGAAAGGAGGCAGCCTACCGAGGAAAGAAGAAGAGAGGCCCCGGCCGGAAGTGGCTGTCAGCCGGGAGCGGCGCAGGCGCAATCGGGACACGTGGCACTTCCGGCTCCGGGCTCCCGGCTGCTGCTGCTGTCGATGCTCAGTCTTCTCCCTTCGGGGCTGCCCAGAAGCCACCTGACAGCTCCGGGTGTCCCAGCCCGAAGGACCGTGCTCGACCTCGCCAGCCACGTCACTGAGTCTCACCGTCGGCCGGAAGTGGCGTGTGTCACCGTTACGGAAATCCCCGCCGTGTTAAACGTCATCTTGCCGGCAGTGCCAGGATCTGAGAGCAATCAGTAACCGCTTTCTAGGGGTAGGACTGACACTACCTCTCCTCTGGCTTTTTCGAAGATTACCTGAGACGACAGACGTCAAAGTCCTCTGTTGAGACAATACTTCTGGTAGCCGAGCCGACTAATATTCGTCGCAGTATTTCATTTCACTTTTCATCATCATATTCCAGGTGTAAATTGTAAGGGAGTGTTTCTTTTTAAGGTGGCAGTCAATTATGTACTTGTGTTAAAAGTGTAATCAAATCGGGCGGCGGGGTAGCTCAGTGGGCTCAGGTCATGATCTCACTGCCATGAGATGGAGCCCGTTAGGGCCCTCTGCGCCTGACAGCGTGGAGCCAGCTTGGGTTTCTCTCTCCATTTCTTTCTGCCTCTCCCCCTGCTCTCTCGCTCTCTCTCTCAAAATAAATAAAAATAAAAAGATTTGTATCCTTAAAAAAAAAAAGTGTAACCAGGGCGACTGGGTGGCTTGACTAGGCTCAAGTCATCATCTCCTGGTTTGTGTGTTCGAGCCCTGAGTCAGGCTATGTGCTGACAGCTCAGAGCCTGGAGCCACCTTAGGTTTCTGTCTCTCTGTCTCTCTGTCTCTCTCTCTCTCTACCTGCCCTTCCCCCACTCACACTCTGTCTCTGTCTCTGTCTCTCTCCCCCTCTCCCCCCAAAATAAATAAACATTTAAAAAACAGTGTAATCAAATCAAGGAGGAAGACTTCTTGTTTTGTTTTGTTTTTTTTTTTTTTTGACTGGAGGACTCCAACTAATTTTAATTTTGAAACTCACTGATTCACAGCAGAGTCATGCGAAAGTTCATTAACAGCACATTTAAATGGCAGTTTTATTTCCTCTTCTAGGAGTTTACAGTAAGGTAAAACGTTCAAACTTCCTTTTCAGGCAAGTAGACTTTTTTTTTTTTTTTTTTTTTACTTTTTAGGCCAAAGGGAGATAGAAACCAGAGTGACTGGATAGTACAGTTAATTGATTATCTCGGTAATCATTTTAGCTGCCTTCATTCTAGTTAGATTTTTCCTTCTCTGAGTTGTTAAAGCTCTTATTTAAATTATATATTTATACTGTTGATTAAAAGGTCATGCCAGGGGTTTTTCATGAAGGGAGAAGTACATCTTACTTAACTCATTTAATATCAAATGCCTGCGCTGAAATATATTTACATTGCATAATGTTAAATTATATATGAAATGAGTAACAGTTAAACCACTGTGTCAGACCTGAAAAGCAAACCATAAGAATTCAAATAATAAAGAGTTAAATTTTATCCCAACCCTGTTTTTATCATTTGCCTCCGGACCTTGCTAAAAATATATTTGCTGTGTGTGAAATTAAACAAGATACAAGTACAAAGTTTTCTTTAGGATGAAGACGATACTTTTGGTCCAACTTTGTGGCTTAGAGCCCCTATAACAAAATCCCAAATCAAACATCCCAAGAATTCTTTTTTTAATGTTTTATTTATTTCTGAGAGAGAGAGAGACAGCATAAGCAGGGGAGGGTCAGAGAGACAGGGAGACACAGAATCTGAAGCAGGCTCCAGGCTCTGAGCTAGCTGTCAGCACAGAGCCCGATGCGGGGCTCAAACCCACGAACTGCGAGATCATGACCTGAGCCGAAATCGGACACTTAACCGACTGAGCCACCCAGGCACCCCAAGAATTCTTAAAAAGATAGGAAACAGAAGCCTCTCAATGTTTTAAAAAGAAAACAGAACTTAGAGAGAAACTGTACCTTCCTGAGATCAGACAGAAAATTAGGGTCACTCTTCAGAGGGACAAATGCTTAGACCTGGTCTGAAACTTGCAGTCGTTTAAGGGCACCTGGGTGGCTCTGTTGGTTAAGTGTCTGACTTTGGCTCAGGTCACTATCTCGCCTTTCATGAGTTCGAGCTGCACATCAGGCCCTGTGCTGACAGCCTGGAGCCTGCTTCAGAATCTGTGTCTCCCTCTCTCTCTGCCCCTACCCTGCTCAGACTCTGTGTCTCTCTCTCTCTCTCAAAAATAAATAAACATTTTTTGAAAACTTGCAGTAGTTTAATTTTTTCCTTTTCTTAAATGCAATTCTTAAGTGGTTTATTGACCTTGGCACAGGAGTGATTTGGTTAAATAAGCTTTCTTTGGACTTTGTTCTGTTTAAGCAATATCTGTGTGTTCAGAAGGGGGAAAAACTGATAGAGAGGATTAGCCATTTTAAAACATAAATCATGGCTGGTTAAATCAGGTTAAACACATAATATGCTAGCGCTTTTTCTAAAATTTGTTCCACCTGTGTTGTTACTCTCCAAAAAAACTATGGTTAAGTCTTTCAAATGTTTTCTACATTTCATTGTAGTCATTTCGAAAATACTGAGGAGAAAAGCAGCATCTGTCATCCACCTACCCTCAGGAACAATAGGAAGTTAAGTTTAAGGCACTAAGGTGGGAGAGCATAACCTAAAAAGTAATTATTAAGTATCATCCACATATTGTCAGATCCTTCTCTGACTTCTAAAAGGGTGGCTACATAAACATGAAGGAAAAATTATTAGTGCTATTACCAGTTGTTAGGGGTATTGTTTTCTTTTGGTTTTTGTTTGGTTTTGGTTTTGGTCAACTACCTGTATCTACCCTACAGTACTATACATTTTTCTAAACTGATGTCAATAACACATTCTACCTGTTTATCCCTGTTTTCCAGAAAAACAGGACCCTTCTGCTACATATATACCATTCATATGTATATAAATCAGATTTTCTGCACATAATTTTTGAAGCCTTCAACCCTACTTAAGTTTATAAACCAAAAAAAATGTGACACTAAAGAGTCTCAGCAAGGAGATAGCACTATGCAAAGAATATTCCATTAAAATTAAACCCAAAAGAGCAGACAGCATGCTTAATTTGCTGACCTGCAGAAGTGGACTCCGGCTCACACACTAGGGCCCCTTTAGCTGCCTGCTCATCACCGTTGACTTGTCAGCTGATAAACATGAACAATTCTGTTCACTTTTCAGAATAGGGGAACTTGTTTTAGGTCCTTTAATTATGTAAAAATGTGTCCTATTTCAAACCAAAAAAAAAAAAATGGTTTCAGTTACAAACAACAGGTTTGTTCTGAAACTCTTGTGACTCTATTTTAAGAACAGTTCCTTTGGCCTCATTTGCCTATGACAGGACATCTGTTTGTATCTGAAGTCAGCATCTCTGAAGCTACATTGTAAGAATACTCATCTCATCTCACACCAAGCCAGCAAATCGCATTGCTTTCTTTGAAAACTTCTCATCTTTATGTGGTTCTTGCCATTCTCACTGCCCATGGATTAATTTTCATCATCTTGCACTAGAACTATTAGGCTAGTAGCTTTTTTGGTTTCCCTCCCCCCAATCCATCCTACATGTTGAACTGAGCTCCTCAGTACTGATTCTGTCTTTATTTTCCTGTACCCCAACACCTGTAACGCTCCCTGTACCTATTCCATCAAGTTTCTCTGCATGGCTTTTCTCATCTTGCACTGAGTAAAATCCAAAGTCCTACTCAGCCTTCAGGGTCCCACATGACCTGGCCCTGCCAACTCTCTGTCTTCTTCCACATTCTCTCTCACTCTCTCCATTGCACACATCCACACTGGGCTCTGAGCTGACCATGGGGCCTACTTGGGTTTCTCTCCCTCTCTCTCTGCCCCTCCCCCGCACACACACACATTTTCTCTCAAAAAAGTAAACATTTAAAAAAAAATTTTTTTTAATCCAACAGCTGTGACGACGATTGATTTCAGGGAAAAGAATGGAGTTGCTGCAGTAAACCAGGCCAGGGATGCCGGTTGTCTCAGTGAGGTAGTTATAGTGGAAAAAGAAGTAATCTATGTTAAAATTTTGGACTTTCATGTCTCAATTTTTGCTAACATGCGATCAATCCTGAAATCTTATAGATTCCAACCTTTACAGATTCTCACACACAATACCCTATTTCTCTGTTCCCACTGACCAATCCAGGCCTGTTACCTCTCACCTGCATGATTGTAGCAATCTCATTACTGATCACAGATTTCAATCAACCTGTTCGAATACAACACAACACACTACTTCCAGAGAAAACTTTCAAAAACAACTCCGACCACATTCCTTCTGTATTCAAAACCCTCAAAAGGCTCTATAGTTTGGGATCCAAGGTCCCCAGTAACCCAGCCCAAATCTACCCAGTCACATCACAATACTCGCCTGATGCTTTTCCCATCTCTCTTCCTTTTTGTATGTTATTATCTCTCATATCATCTCTTTTGGATATTAACCTTCATTTTATACATACATGAACTTTAAGTGGCTAGCGATGTTAGAAGCATAGTCTGTAGCTAGAGATTGTGCTCTTTGTCTGCTGTACTCTATTAAAAATGCATCCATTGGGGCACCTGGGTGGCTCAGTCAGTTGAGCATCCAACTCTTGGTTTCAGCTCAGGTCATGATCCCACTGGCATGAGATGGAGCCCCACAGGGGGCTCTGCAAAGACAGTGTGAAGTCTGCTTGGGATTCTGCCTTTCCCTCCCCCTGTGCCCCTCCCCATTCACGCTGTCTCTCTCAAAATAAATAAACTTAAAAAATTTTTTTAATTAAAAAAAGTTGTCAGTTATCATACCAGAAAAAAAAAGTTTATTCTGAAATAGCAGAGAATTTCATTTCCAGACACACAAGGTAGGGCTTTGCAAGTCTAGAGAACAAAGGAGGACCACTCTTTAGAGAAAAATGGCAAAGTTGAGAGGTGGCTGTTATAAACAAAACACCCACTGGAATAAACTGGGAGTTCTAACTGTAATGGCTTTTCATTAGCTGAGTTGTGACAGTCTCTCATTGACTGGACTATTGCTGAGCAAGGAAAAATTCTTCCCTCCTTCAGCTGTGGTAGTAAAATATAGGCTTTTTCCTATTGGGAATGCAAGGTAAATCTCTTCCTGCAATTGAGGAAAAGTGGTAGGGTGAGAGCTTTCCCTTCTGGTCTCCTGATTCCATTTAAATGAGGCTTCCTTATTTAAATACTCACAAATCAAACTGAACTCAAGAGAAGATGTGTGGAAAGGAAAGTAGAGGGGAACCCAGACTGGAGTAACAGGTTTCTCTAACTCAGATCAATGGGCTTGAGGGAAAAATTTCAATCTCTTGTGGATAAAAATGTACCTAGAATCCTTATGTTATAAATGAATCACTAGTTCATATGTATTGAGTACCTATTGTATGCCTGGCACTGAAAATAGGTTCAAGAGAAGAAAAGGCAGACATTTTGTAAAATGTCTGTTAGGGAGACTTTTCAAAAATTATCATCCATATTTAATTGTACAATTATAAGGTAACAAATATAAGGAGAATTGTACAGTTGCTGGGGAAACCTGTTAAGAGAGAGCTTAACCGAGTCTGGGAAGGAGATTTTGATGAGAGAGGGCTATCTGCGCTAAGGCCTTAAGATTGCAGATGATATACCTGGGTGGGAAGGAGAGGTTTGGATAATTTGTTCTGACAGAAGAAATGGCAACTACCAAGGAAAGACACATGGGCTGAGGCGCTTCCTGAAGCTGCAGAAGAAAGGGAGAGAGCCAGTAGAGCCAGTTACAGATTTTGCTGGGACTCTATCAAATAACCCATTCTTTAACCCCCATCTCCTCTCCCCATTCTGGCTCCGGAGCAATCTTTTTTTTTTTTTTTCAAGTTTTTTTTTCTTTTTATTTCTGAGAGACAGAGACAGCGTGAGCAGGGGAGGGTCAGAGAGAGAGGGAGATACAGAATCCGAAGCAAGCTCCAGGCTCTGAGCTAGCTGTCAGCACAGAGCCTGATGCGGGGCTCAAACCCACGAACCGAGAGATCATGACCTGAGCCGAAGTCGGAAGCTTAACCGTCTGAGCCACCCAGGCGTCCCAGGCTCCAGAGCAACCTTGAGAGCATCACACTTCCATTCAAGATACTCAAGTATTTTTATTTAAACCCATTTAAGGGTGGTAACGTTAATCCTTTCGTGAAGAACAGCCGAGTCAAGACAGTCTTGCTTCAAGCTCAATACCCAGCATCCAACACATTACCTGGTACATAATGAAGTTTTGTAAATTAGTTGTGAACTCAAGAAACGGGTGTCCTTTTTTTTTTTTTTTTTTAACGTTTATTTTTGAGAGAGAGAGCGCCCCCGCGAGAGCAGGGGAGGGGCAGAGAGAGAGAGAGGGAGACAGAATTCCCAGCTGGCTCCGAGCCATCAGCACACAGCCCTACGCGGGCTCCAACTCATAAACTGTGAGATCATGACCTGAGTCACCCAGGCGCCCCTCAACAGATATACTTTTAAAATGTACTTTAAAAATGTATTTTTGAAAAACGGTTGTCATGGATAATTTTTCCGAGCTAGGCGACTCGCGTTTCTTTCTCTGCCTAGGCCCTCAGGCCGCTGAAACCCTTTTGGGCGGACGTGGGGAGACCAGGTTGCGGGAAGGCCGGCCCCAGCCAGCAGGCGCGCTCAGCAAGGGGTCTGGCGGCGGAACCGCGGGAAGGCGGAACTTCGGACGGGTGGAACTGCGGTCCTGCGGACCGTCGGGAGTGAGGCACCCCCCGCCCGGCCCGGAAGGAGCTGACGCGAGCTGGGACCTCGGCAGCCATCGCGCTTTGCAGTTCGAACTAGGAGGGCGTAAAGCCGACGCCGAGCGAGGAATTGCGATCTCTCCAGTAGCAGGTGAGTGGCGGTCTCTTCTTCCGGTAGAACCTATAGGCGGCCGCTTTCCCCGAGGAAAGCGCACTTTTCGGGCCTAGATTCCTCTCCGGAATCTGGCAGCACTAAGCAGGACGGGTTCCTTTGCTGCTCCGCGGGGGCCGCCCTGACGGTCCCCTGCATAGCACACCTGCTGCTGTCAAACGGTGGGTTGTTTCAGGAATGAACGAGATGACTCTGCGGTAGACAAGCCCTTCTTTCCCCTCCGCCTCGGTTTCCCCATCTGGTAAGGTGAAGGCGGCTCAAACCCCTTCACAGCTCAAACCCCTGTGACGTCTTGTGTTTTTAGCTCTCCCAATTCGTGTGGGAGCAAAGTGAGCTTCTTTACTAGTGCAAGTTAACGTTTAGTCATAGCCCAAGTCCCAGTTGAGTGGCGGGGAAAGATACACTGTTGGGTGAAAACTGTAATGATTTATAAATTGTTCCCAGATATTCCAAGATAGAAATGTGTTTTGACAACAGCTAACACTGTGACCTCGTTGGCTGAAAGAACCAAACTCATTAGGAACGTAAGGTGTTTGGTACATTGGGCAATACGAGGTGAAAGAATATTTTTAACTTTAAAAATTAAATCTAATATTATTTACATATTCATCTATCAAGCTCACTATTACCCCGTGTCTTATTCTGAAGAATATCCTGTGTTCACTGTTAAAATACCAGTTAAGAGTATGCCACCTCTAAGCAAATGAAAGAGAAGGAAACATTTACTGACTGTTTCCTGTGAGTGAGGCGCTGCCATTTGCACAACAATGCACTAAGGAAGGTAATTGTATTATCTCTGGTTTACAGATGAGGACTAAGGGAATATTTACAATTTGTCAAAAATTAGTGGTGCTGGTATGTCAAAGGAAAGCATATATCTAACGTTACTTCCAGGATTTACATTCATCACCAAAATACTTTGAACTTTAAAAACTAAGATTATAGTTCATTGGCATTTTCTGAGTTTGCAGAAAAGGAATGTTTTGCTTTTATTTTAAAAATGTTAGAGAAGCACTGTTAGTAATGAGGAAGATTAGCATTTGAAAAAAGTACGTTTTAACTATCCTTTCCTTTCACTTCAAGCAGAAATTGAGACAAAAGATTAGGCTATCAGAAATGAAAATCATTGCCACAGTATTTGAAACTTAGAAATCAGAATCTGTAGTAATGATGCATTATTTCTACGCCCTTTTCTTTAAGTATACTTGGCTGATACTCACTTAAATGATTTCTCTGCAAAACATTACTAAGCAAATACCTTTAAAATCACACTGTTGAAAAAATTTTCTTGTGTTTAGCTTTTAGAACAGTTTCAGTTAAAAGTATTTTAAGAGGGCGCCTGGTTGGCTCAGTCGGTGGGGCATGCGACTCTTGATCTCGGGGTCATGATTTCAAGCCCCTGTTGGGCCTAGAGCTTTCTTTTATAAAAGTATTTTAAGGACTCAATTTGTCACTGCTTACATCGGTTTTTATTTTCTTAATTCAGTATAGACAAGTTCAGTACTCATACTCACAAACAACTTTATTCGTAATACAGAGTTCTTTCCCCCTTTTTGCACTCTTAAAAAAATCCTATTCAAATTTGACACAGGTTTAACCTTTAAGTCTAGTGTCACTTTTCCCTTAAGGAAACTTGAGTTTGTACTTTTTGTTGATTACATGAACCAAAAGGCCTAATTCCATTATTATGATTGCTATGCATTCGGTCCTAAATTTTCTTGAGTTTTGTATTTACATCACTGTTTCAAAACTTTGAAGGCTATGGAAAGAAAATCTCACAGTTTTAGGTGAAAGTATTTCTAAGGCAACTTTGTCTTGAAACATTCAACATTGTTCCTGTCCATCCTTAGTAATGCACAGGGCCTTGCTGAAATTCTTTAAAACAAGGTCAAGCAGAGTTTGGCCTTCTTTATATTTCTGGTACTATATAAATTCAAAAGAGAAGTGTGCATAATTCCTAAATTAGCTTACAGATAATTTATTGGTCTTAAGGAATTTGTACACGTTTTCATCATAAACCCGATGAAGTTGGGTAGAAAATTATGATTAATTTTTTTCTACTAAATATCTTTACCTAGAGTTGAAGGAAACTATTCTAGTACCTTTTCTGGTTACTGTCAACGATGGCATTGTTAATATTTGGTGTTGTTAATGTTTAAAGTACAATAAGTCATTAAATATATTAAAAACTTGGGGACCTGACTGGCCCAGTCACTTGAACCTCCGACTCTTGGTTTTGGCTCAGATCATGATCTTACACTTAATGAGGTTAAGCCCCGCATTGCAATGTCCACGCGGAGCTTGCTTGGGATTCTCTCTCTCTCCCTCTCTGCACTTCCTCCCCCTCAATAAATAAATAAACTTAAAAAAAACTGTTTGGGTGCCTGAGTGGCTCAGTCAGGTGAGCGTCCAACTTGGGCTCAGGTCATGATCTCCCAGTTCGTGGGTTCGAGCCCCGCACTGTACTCTGTACTGACATTTGGACAGTGTGGAGGAGGCTGCTTGGGATTCTCTCTCCCTCTCTGTCTGTGCTCTTCCCCCTCTAGTGTGCACTTGCTCACTTGGGCTCTTGCTCTCAAAATAAATAAACTTTATAAAACTAAAAATTAATTTAAAAAACTTTTTCAAAGTCTGTACTTTGAAAGGGCACTTGGCTGGCTCAGTTGGTAGAACATGTTGATCTCAGGGTTGTGAGTTCAAGCCCCATGCTGGGCGTAGAGATTACTTAAAAATGTTTTTTAAAAAAAATAAGATTTGTGCTTTCAATTTCAATTAATTTAGTCTGAATGAGTTAATACCACCTTATATTGTGTAGTGTTCAAAATATTTTCAGGTACATTATCATAATTAATCATTCTTAAAATTCTGTGAGGCAGATGGCATTCCCGTTATTTATCAGAAGAAACTGGAGCTCAGAAAGATCGGCTTTCCCAGAATGAAATAATAATATTTCAGAAGATGCATATTAAATCCAGATTTTTAAAAATTCTAAAATAGGTACTCTAACCATAGCTCTGCTATCCTTTGCTTTCCAGAGTTATTAATGTATTGCCTCTATAATCCTACACTCGTGTTATAGTTGCCTTTTTAGACTACTGGAGCTTTTATTTTTATTTCTTTATTTTTTAAAAACTAGCTTTACTGAAAGACAGTTCATATACCATAAAATTTATTCTCTTAAAGTATACAATTCAATGTTTTTACTGTATTCACAAGGTTATGCAACCATCACCGATTATTCCAGAACATTTTCGTCACCCAGAAAGAAACCCAGTACCTGTTAGCAGTCGCTCCCAGTTTCCCCTTACCTGCCCTGTATGACAACCACTAACTTATTCTGAGAACTTACATATTTAGGATGTTTCATGTAAGTGGAATCATCCAGATACGTTTAATGGGACAAAGCTTTACGAAGTTATTTGTAACCGGAGAGGTTCTGCTTCATTACACTCTTTGTACCGATTTTCATGTTACTAAAGTAGATCTCTTTTCTAATCTGCATAGGCACTTTTCCTGTTTGTTGTTCATGCAATAAATAAATCTGCTGACGTGTATATGTTTCCTTATTCTTGACCTTTGCTCTTCACATGTCTTAATAGTGTGTTCATGGTGTTGTGTAACCTCTTCTCTGGGCTCAGGTATCTGTTTGTGGCTAAGTAACTTTTATTCTTAGTTGGGCATTTTTACTTCTACTTTAAAATGACTAACGACTCCTGCTTATTTTAAGGTTCTTAGAAACCACAACTTTATACAAATATAAATATCTCATTATCTTCTAAAGCAGAGTTTCCCCATATATATTATTAAATCATTTCCCTAGGGACAAATTTTACAACAGCAAATTTGGACCATCCTTACTGAAGAAATCATTTTTCCTGCAAGGCTTATCCCATTCTACCCCCCATCAATCTCAGAGCTCTCACCCACCAACAGTCATCTACAGTGAGCTTCTCCCCCCTTTTGTTTGTAGTAACCTCTGCACCTAACATGGAGCTCGAACTCAGGTCCCCAAGATCAAGAGTCGTATGCTCTACCGACTGAGCCAGCCAGGCGCCCCTTCAGTGAGGGCTTTGTCACTGGATTCACAGGCTTGCTTTCTGTAGCCGTTTGTAGCCGTTCTTCTAGGAGATTGGGTGCTTAGCGTGGACTGTAGACCATATAGCTCAGCCTGGATATCTGTAGCTTTCTTTCATTCGCCTTCTTCAGCCGTCTGTGCCAGAGCCAGGCCTTGGAACTTACCCCCTCCCAGACCTGATCCTCTTGAGTTTTTGACCCTCGTGTTCTCCACTTTGCTGACACAATTCTGGTCCACCTTTCACTTCTCTCACCCTTTTACTCTGACTATGTCTACATTTGCTTTTCAACCAGAGATTTCCCCCCACTTTATCCCCGTAGATCAGCTGCCTTGGTACCTTTAGCTACTCAGCCTGAACTTTTGATCACATCACTTCAGACTCTCACTAGTACTCTCAAATTCCTGTCCCCCTGGTCTTTTTTCACTTCCTTAATCTCTGTTCATTCTGTATTCTTTAAAGCTGACGCTTGCTGGGAAGTGAGGGTGGCAGGGAGAGGGGGAAATTGGAAATCCCTGCAGACGGGCAGTGCTCTGAATGGTTTTCAGCCCCAGCCAAGCACTTGGCTCTTCTTAGCCGTCTTTTAACTTGGTCTTTTCCCCACAGTAGCTATCTATTCTAATCCTCATTCTGCTCCTCAGAAAAGTCTCTATCCCCCTTCTTCACTTTTGCAGTCAGATTCTTGCTACCTCCACTGTACATTTCCAGGCCCTCCTTACTTCTACTCTGAAAGAAGGAGATGCACTCTCAACCCTGGCTCCTCTGGAGACTTTGCCCCTTTCGGTTAATTCCTTCCTTCTCTTTTTCTTTCATCTTTAACCTCTCCCTTTCCACTAGCTCCTTCCCTTCTTATAGCTCTTCCTTATCAACATACTCGAGCCTTATCCTCCTTAAGAAGAAACTCCCATTTCCGTCATTCCATTTCAAACTCTTTGAAAGACCTTCTCTGTCTTTTACACTTCTCAGTAATAACAGCAACCAGTATTAAGTACTTATTTTGTGCATTTTATCTCATTTGATCTTTACAGATACTCTAAGAGATTTTGCAGAAGAAACTTGTAACTTGTTCCAAGGTCACACAGTTCATGACTGATAGAGACCAGCTCTTGCACTTTAAGTGCTGGCCACAGGCTCTCCTCTGCTTCCGCTCCATGCAGGCTCCTCACCCTCTCAGCAATCGTCTCCTTGCCACAAAACAAGCTGTGACATCCCTGCAGCTGGACTTCATGGGGCTAACTTCTTTGCACTTGTGCCATCCTCTCTTTTAGTTGTTCTACCCTTTCTGGCTTCTGTTGGTTCTTCCACCCCATCTGTCCCTTAAAGGCCATCTCAAGTGAAAACTCATTAATTCCATAGCATTTGGCTTAAGGCAGAAGGTCTTTAGGCAGAGCTGGTGGGAGAAATTCTGATGTTGGGTAGGAGAATGGGCAGAGGTTTTAAGGTGGTTAAGTACAGGTCATGAGCAGTGGTTTACTTTGGCACAGGGAAAGCTATAAGTGGAGGATATGTATTGAACTTGTAAAGGTGGCCAAAAGGTATATAGTCGAAGTTCTGAAGTACTGGACTAGGAGTTTGAATCATTTCTCAGCTCATAGACCTCCAATGGCTGTCTATCCACAGGTATAGGGTGGCCGTATAAATTTCACACCTCATCAGGATGCTTTTGAGAGTGAAAGGAAGCACTATTGATAAATATACCCAGATAACTTTGCTGAGACTATCCGGAGCAAACTAGGAGTTACAGTCACCCTGACTATGCACGAAGTCAAGTCTAAGATGACATTTTCACAAAGCTGCTCTGGAGGGTGTATACAGATTGGTACAAACAAAATTTGAGGTTAAGATAGTTGTTTGGGAATGTGATTTAAGGTTGATCACAAAGTAGCTCCTGTAGAAATCAAAAGACAACTGGAGACTGCAGAAATTGATACAGCTGGGAAATAATCAACTGGATGGGGGATGTGAGGGAGAAGGGAACTGCATGTCAGACTCATAAGGTGGAGTGATTTAAAAAGCGGTACATAGGGGCGCCTGGGTGGCTCAGTCGGTTAAGCGTCCAACTTCGGCTCAGGTCATGATCTCACAGTTCATGGGTTTGAGCCCCGCGTTGGGCTCTGTGCTGGCAGCTAGCAGCCTGGAGCCTGCTTTGGATTCTGTGTCTCCCTCTCTCTCTGACCCTCCCCTTCTCACACTGTCTCTCTCTCTCTCTCTCTCTCACTCTCTCTCTCAGAAATAAAACATTAAAAAAAAAAAAGAACTTTGTTGATATGAAAGTATATTTTTGTATATATGATCTTTCATTTCTCAAGAGGTTTTTCCCCCCTCTTCTTTCCATATTAATTTTATTAGTTATCAAGCACATGTCAAGGAACTGCCAAATCGAACTATACTCTGCGTTTTCTACTGTGATTTCAGAAACTTTTTTTAACATTCAGTAATATGATTAAAATTTGAAAAATGCAGAAAGATTACGAACCCAGAAATTACCACCTGATACCATTTGCTACAAAAGACCAAAAGTAATGGAAAAAGGGTTTTTACTCAACATAGGTATAATCAGACTTGAAAACTTATTTCATTATCATAAATTTCCTTTCCTCTCTTTCTCCTTGCTCTTCCTTCCTCCACTCCAAGGTTTTGGTAAATATTTCATAGGCCATATATACTTTAACTTACTCTTGAATAGAGATTATTTCCAAAATTTGTCTTGTATTACACTTTGGTGCACATCTTGATACATAAAGATTGTCTATATTTGGACAATTTCTGAAAGAATTCTTGGGTCAAATGGTGTGACATATAGATTACTGCCAAATTAGTTGTTAAAAAGATTTGTACCCATTTATACTGCCACTAACTGCCTCTTTTACCACATCTTTTCTAGTTCCATCTGTTACAGTTCATTTTCATGTTTGCTGCTGTGATTGGCAAAGAATGGTCCTAGTCCGTATTTTTAATTAAAAGAAATTTTTGTTGTGTTTTAAAAATAAAAAGAGGCTTTTTCCTTTAATTTTTTCAAAGTAAGCTTGACACCCAGCATGGGGCCTGAACTCATGACCCTGAAACCAAGAGTCACATAGTCTACCATCTGAGCCCCACTAGTTTGTATTTTAATGGCATTTTGTGTTTTATGCATCAGTAGGTATCTGATTAGACCACCCTGGATAAGAATGGCTAACTCTTGAGGTGCCTGGGTGGCTCCATTGGTTGAGTGTCTAACTTTGGCTCAGGTCATGATCTCACGGTTAGTGAGTTTGAGCCCTGCATTAGGGTCTCTGCTCTCAACATAGACCTGCTGCCCATCCTCTGTCCCACGTTCGGCCCCTTCCCTGCTTGCGAGCGTGGTCTCACATACTCTCACTCAAATAAACGTTAAAAAAAGAGGGGGAGCACCTGGGTTGCTTGGTCCTTTGAGCTTCCAACTTCTGCTCAGGTCATGATCTTGCAGTTCTGAGTTTGAGCCTCACATTGGGCTCTCTGCTGTTAGCGGGGAGCCTGCTTTGGGTCTTCTGTCTCCCTCTCAAAACTAAACAAACAAAAAAGAACGGTTAAAGTCTTTATAGTAATGTTGTTATAGGATTATTTACTCAGAGTTCGAGTTTAATGTTGTTGGTGTTTAATGTCAACTACTGAATTCAAAACATTTTCTTTTCCAGACTCTGTAAGATTTGGATATGTCCTTCATATTTGACTGGATTTACAGTGGTTTCAGCAGTGTGCTACAGTTTTTAGGTAATGTTGGCCCTTTGTTCTCTATTGTTACCTCATTTAATCCTACTTACATAAAAGTGCTTATTTGTCTAGAGCCTCTTTTTATGTATAACCCACTAGTTGTGAATGTGAGCTTTGAAATCATACAAATGTGTTCAAATAACTCATTGTATATCTCTTATAAATTATGTAATCTTGGGCAAATTACTTTCTTTACCTTAGCCTTAGTTTCCTTATCTGTAAATTAACAATAATCCCTACCTCTTTTAAGGTTGTTGATAGGAATATTATTTACAGAAGTAGCTACCTTTGATTAGCCAGTTTACCTAAAAAGTTTCTAAGTGCTTTAGATACTTTATCTCATTTACTCCTCACAGAAATTGACTGCATTGTTTTTATTATAAATGTATGCTAAATGAGACTTGTATATCCAGCAATGCTGACTAGTATTTTTCCTCTATAGATTTCAAAAAGGAAAAATCTAAGCATGTCCCTCTCTTCCTGATGTTCTTAACTTCTCACATTTTCCAGTGAAACAAGGTTTTGATTGTCTTCTATGTTACCATGTATACAATTTTATTATTGTAGTAATTGATGAAGATATTTCTGGTCTCCTGTTTTCGAATCTTGCCCTAAGTTTAGTCTCCATGTCATCTTGAACTGGCACAAAGGGAAGCATTTCATGTAATTACAGAGTTGTCAACATAATTCCTAACTGGCCACAACTGTACTTATGAATTGTTATCTCCTATATAAATATTTCCTCTTCCATAAACATAATCTGAACCAAGGAAATAAATATTGCTTGGAAAATACACATTTTGTTTGACTACTGTATATTAAAAGGATAAAAATGTAAGGTAAAATTTTATCAATCTATTTTTAATTTCTTATATGGACCTCAATTTTTGCAAATTTTTAAAAATCAAAGTTTTTTCTTTTTTAAAATTTTTATTTATTTTTGAGAGAGAAAGAGAGTATGAGTGGGGGAAGAGCAGAAGAGAGAGACAGAGGATCCCAAGCAGGCTCCACACTGTCAGCACAGAGTCCACTGTGGGGCTCGAACTCACAAACTGTGAGATCATGACCTGAGCCAAAATCAAGAGTTGGTCACTTAACTAAGCCACCAGGTGCTCTTTTTTTTTTTTTTCCTTTTTAAAATAAAAGTCCTCACATTATCTTATACGGTCATTCTACTACAGGTCAAATATCAGATCTTTCCATACTACTTCCTCAAAAATTCTTAAATATTTTTATCAGACTGAAATATTGTGTTACATTATTTGCAACAACTAGGTCAAAAATAAATGTTTTCAACTTCATTATATTGGGATAGCCTGGGTTGTAACAGGTTGGATCAATGCTGAACTACATTGAAAAAGTAGACTGCCTCATAAGCAGGAGCAAGAGGTTAATATGGCTAACAGTAGGAGGCAGTGTAGAAAAATGGAAATGAACTAAAGCTTTCACATCAGAGATAGGTTCGGGGCGCCTGGGTGGCTCAGTCAGTTGAGCATCTGACTTCGGCTCAGGTCATGATCTCGCAGTTCCTGGGTTCGAGCCCCAGGTTGGGCTCTGTGCTGACAGCCAGCTCACAGCCTGAGGCCTGCTTTGGAGTCTGTGTCTCCCTCTCTCTCTGACCTTCCCCTGCTCATGCTGTCTCTCTCTCTCAAAAATAAATAAAACATTAAAAAGAAAAAAGATGGGTTCAATCTCAGATCTGACCTTGGCATTGGAGCAAGTTAACTTTGAGCCTTTGTTCCCCTCTGTAAGAAAGGGAATAATGTGTACTTCAAAGACTTATTTTGAAGATTAAATGAAGTAATGTATAATGGGTGCTTAACAGTGCTTATCACAAAATAAGGGTTTAGTCCAACTCACTTTTAAGATTAAAGTTTAAATGTCCTACGTGTTCCCTTTTGGAATCTTACCCAGTGCACTGTTACTGCTTAAAAGTTAGGATTGTAAAATTGACTGATTGCACTGATTAGAAACCATCTGTGTAGAAATGTTTTAAGAAATAGAAATGTTTTAAAAAATTATTCATCACAACTCATGATTAAATGAGAAATAAAGTATCCCAGCTCAAATAAATATGGAAGACAGTCCTTCCCCTTAGGATCAGAACTGTTGGTCACTGGGTGATCAAAAGATTAGGACTTCAAACCGTTTGCTTTTTCAGCTTCAATGTGGATAATGTGGATAAAGAGTTAGGTGTTGTTTTGGTATGAACTTAGTAAAAACTGGGTGGCCTGAATTAGAATTGCGTAATGTCTTTAAAAGCTCATGTTTTGACTGAAAAAACATATTTTTGAGTTGCTACTATGTCCCTTGTCCTTATGTAATTCCACAGGTGTTAGACAATTAAAAATGAAAAATAAAATTCATTATTGGTACATACCTATTAGAGTGTCCAAAATCTGGACAATGACAGCACCAAATGCTGGCAAGGATGTGGAGCAGCAAGAACTTGCATTCACTGGTTGGAATGCAAAATGGCACAGCCACTTTGGAAGACAGTTTGGTGGTTTCTTACAAAACTAGACATACTCTTACCGTACAGTCCAGCACTTGTGCTCCTTGGCATTTACCCAGAAGAGCTGGAGACTTAGGTCCACACACGAACCTGCACAAAGATTTTATAGCAGCTTCATTTATAATTGCCAAAACTTGGAAGGAACCAAGATCTCCTTCAGAGGTGAATGGATAAATGAGCTCATTTATCCAGACAATGGAATACTACTAAGCACTAAAAAGAAATGAGCTATGGAGCCATGAAAAGACCTGGAGGAACTTTAAATGCATCTTCAATCTCAATTGACTGTATGATTACAACTATATGTCATATACAACTATATGACATCTGGAAAGGCAAAAAGGCAAAAAATACAGAGACCATAAAAAGATCAATGGTTGCTAGCCAGTGGGGGGTGGGGTAGGATAAAGAGGCAGAGCATATAGGATTTTTACGGCAGTGAAAATACTCTGTATAATATGATGATAGATATAGGTCCTTGTACAGAATACAGATTATACTATACTAAGAGTAAGCCCTAAGGAAACTCTGGGTGATTATGATGTATCAGTGTAGGTCCACTGTTGGTTAAAATGTACCATTTTCATGAGTGATGTTATTAATAGGAGAGGCTATATATGTGTGGGGACAGGGAGTATATTGGATATCTCTGGGCCATCCTGTCAGTTTTGATGTAAACCTAAAACTAAAAAAAAGCCTTAAAAAAAATAAAGCTCAATTTGGAATTTCTCAATAAATGCCAATCCGCTAGAATCAGTCAGTGCTCTCTTTTTGCTATCACTTCGTCTGTCAGTACTTGCTTGATATATTTAAAATTATGTGCTTGGTTTTTTTTTATTGTTGCTTTAGTTTATGCAATTCTAGGAATAGTTTAACCTTATTGTCTCAGGGAAATTTGACAGTGACCTAAACTTTCTATTGAAAGAACTCAACTATGATTTTTATTGTCAAAACTACTTATTTTCATCCATGAATATCTTTTTAATTTTCCTTTTGATCTAGCTTCATTAATACATGATATCAAGCATTTTGTGTTTCTCTAATAGTAGACGTAGATATTTATTCCTAAATTGTCAAGGGAATCAGCATTTTGGCACTGCAGGTAAGTTTAGGTAACACACTCATTGATTGGGACAAAGTTTAGGTTTAAAATGATTTGAATTTGTATATTATAATAGATTTAAAATAGTTTCAAAACTAAAATTAGACTAGAAATCCAAGCTTATTCAAGTGAATTTATAAAATCTTATAAGTTCAAAAGGTCAATAGGTGTTTCTTTATAAAACACCTAGAGTAATTAGGGAAAGTATCCAAATAACTATAAATATTTATACTAGATTTTTATTTAAAGTCATTTTACTTGGATAATCTGTCAGCACTTTGACTAATCAGATCTTATTCTGCAGGATTATATAAGAAAACGGGTAAATTAGTATTTCTTGGATTGGATAATGCAGGAAAAACAACATTGCTACACATGCTAAAAGATGACAGACTTGGACAACATGTCCCAACGTTACATCCCAGTAAGTATATTCCCCCGTACAACATTCTGCTTTATCAAGTGGTAACAATTCATAACACTACCCAAAAGTGTTTTCTTTTTTATTTTTTTTTTAATGTTTTTATTTATTTCTGAGAGAGAGAGAGCGAGCGAGCAGGGGAGGGTCAGAGAGAGAGGGAGACACAGAATCTGAAGCAGACTCCAGGCTCTGAGCTGGCTGTCAGCACAGAGCCTGGTGTGGGGCTTGAACCCACGAACCATGAGATCATGACCTCAGCCGAAGTCGGACGCTTAACCGACCCAGGCGCCCCAAAAGTGTTTTGTTTTTGGTGGTTTTTGTGGTGGATAAATTGTGATCAGGTGATTTGACCTACTAAAATAATATAGTAAATAATAGCTGACCCACTCCCAGAGAGTATATTTAGATCTTGAAATAATACTGCTATCTTCTTATCAGTTAGTACACCCTTCTCCAGATAGAGGAATTAAAGTTACTTTCTCAGGGATTATAACATGATTGAGGTCTCTCCAATCAGATACTGCTTAGGCTATAAATAGTCACCATTAGTTTGTTTGTTTATTTAAGTAGGCTTCATGCCCCATCTCAGGACCCACCATGGGGCTTGAGCTGAGGACCGTGAGATTAAGAATCAGATACTTAACTGAGCCACCTTGGCGCCCCTCACCATTTCCTTGTTTAGATAACCTAAATTTCTTTCAGATTTTAAAACTACTATTTTAATCATTTTTCAGTGGACCGATTATAGTTACTCTTAACTTATTAACCAAGTATTTTTCTAGTCTGAGAAACCTCAACAGTATCTAATATAAAGACCATAGAGTTATTCCAAAAAACAGAGCACGTATTCATTTATAGAAAGTTTTAAAAACAATTTGAAAAAATAATTTACTGTGGTTTCTTTAAGAAAGACTACCCTGGAAGACATTAACAGGGACTCTGTAAATCACTTAATACATAACATTCTTTATATAAAGTATGTCACCATACTGTGAGTAGGTAAACATTAAAGTGACAAAATTATTAGAACAGATGCCTTATAAATACCTATGACCTTGCCTTTACTGTTGAAGAGATTGAATCAAGTCAACGTAGAGTAAAATGGATTTTAATAGTTTTATTGAGTGCCTGGGTAGCTCAGTTGGTTAAAAGTCCAACTCTTGGTTTTGGCTCAGGTCATGATCTCACAGTTCACAAGATGAAGCCCCGCATTGGGCTCTGCTGCGCTGACAGTGTGGAGCCTGTTAGGGATTCTCTCTCCCTCTCTCTCTCTGCCCCTCCCCGCTCACTCTCAATCACTCAGTCTCAAAATTACACTTAAAAAAATAAAAATAAAGTAGGCGCCTTGGTAGCTCAGTCACTTAAGCTTCCGAATTCGGCTCAGGTCATGATCTCAGAGTTTGTGAGTTTAAGACTCACATTAGGCTCTGTGCTAACAGCTCGGAGCCTGGAGCCTGCTTCAGATTCTGTGTCTCCCTCTCTCTCTGCCCCTTCCCCATTGTGCTCCGTTTCTCAAAAGTGAATAAATGTTAAAAAAATTTTTTTTAATAAAAATGAGAATAGAACTGAGAAATGGGCCAAAAAGTAGATAATATGATAGTTATTTAATTGAGTAAATATTCAGAGAACAAGGACAGAACAATAATGACAAAAAGTACCATTTTATTGATAAAATTGATACTGAAGTTGGAAAAGGAAGACTTCATAAAATTTTTTATATTGGGAGAAGAGTGGGACTAAGATTTTATTTTTAAATAATCTTTACCCCCTGTGTGAGGCTCAAACATACAACTCTGAGTTGAAGAGTCACAGGCTTTACCAACTGAGCCAGCCAGGTGCCCCCATTTAAAAATTTTTTGATACTGCTTTTTTAAATTTATTCAACAAATATTTATGCAGCACCTACTTTATGTCAGACATTGTTTTAAGTACTAGGAGTAAAAGCAGTGGCACAAAACAGTTGGCATCTCAATTTTCCTACAGCTCATATTCATTTTCTCTTACATTTTGCATTAATCAAAAGCATATGTGAAAAGGTAACATGTGTCTACCCTATGGTCAGACAGTTCCATTGGTAAGTACATATCAGGGAGGAATGAAAACATATTTTCACCAAAATCTTTTTACAACAGTGTTTATACCAGCATTAGTTTTAATAACCCCCAACAGCTCCCAACAGCTCAGATAGCCATAAAAAAAAAAAAACAAACAAACAGATAAACAGTGACATTCTGTTCAATAAGAAAGAGGAATAAACTGTTACATACGGTGCATATTATGCTGCATGGAAAAAGGTGATCACAAAAAGTTATATACATAATGGTATCATTTATATGAAATTCTAAAATAGGCATAACAAACCTGTGGTGCTAGAATTCAGATTCCTTCTGGGAATGGACATTGACAAGGAAAGGGCAGACTTCTGGGATATTAACAGTTTTCTGTATCTTAATCAAATTGGGACCTTTTATAAAACAGAGAGTCTATTAAGGATATAATCATAAAGGTGGTTTCCCAGCTACATCCAAGCGTTATATATCCCTTATGGGAAGAAACACACTTTGAACACAAATTGTATTGATTATTCTTTCAGCCACAGAACTATTTCTGAAGAAAGAATGGCTGTAGCAGGGCGGTTAACCAAATAATTCTCAGAGTTCATATGGGCCCAAGAATCATTCATGTTCCCACCAGCCACAAGGGAGAGACCTGGTTGAATACACTTCCAAAAGAGACTTGAGTAGAATCATACCTTAGTAATGGGGCTGAAGTAGCTATGAAGTAAAAGCTACTTGAACCTAACAAAACTTAAAAACTGATCTGCAAGCAGTTTGACTGCCTGCTAGAATAAAGTCCATCTTACTTCAAAAGAATACAATATCTAGCATCCAATAAAAAATTGCTAGACATGCAAAGAAGCAAGAGAATGTGATCCATAACCAAGAGAAAATTAATCAGTAGAGACAGAGCCAGAAGTGACTAAATGATGGACTAACAGATAAAGATGGTAAAACAGCTGTGAACAGTGTGCTTAAGGATTTAAGGAAAACATGAACAGAATGAGGAAAGAAATGGAAGATACAAGACAGAACCAAGTAGAACTTCTAGAAATGAAAAATTTAATACCTGAAATGAAATTTTCATTATATAGAGTTAACAGCAAATTAGTGCCAGTGTTGGAGAAAGAAAGACCGGTGAACCTAAGTCAACAAAAGAAACTATATAAAAATGAAGCACAGAGAGAAAAATGAAAAGAAAATGAACAGATACTCAGTGACTTGTGGGACAATACCAAGCAGTCTAGCAGACTTATACTTTGAAGTCCCAAAAGAAGGGAGGGAGCAGAAAAAACTTTGAAGAAATAATGGTGAAAATTTTTATTATATTTGTGTTTATCATAAAAGACTGTCAGTTGCATAATATGATCCCCATGAGGGAAAATTATTTCTCTGGTATCATCTAAAGTGAATTACAGAGCTTCTGCACAGCCAAGGAAACAACCCAGAAAATTAATAGGCAACCAACGGAATGGGAAAGGATAGTTGCAAATGACATATCAGATAAAGGGTTAATATCCAGAATCTATAAGGAACTCACCAAACTCCACGCCCGAAAAACAAACAACCCAGTGAAGAAATGGGCAGAAGACATGAACAGACACTTCTCCAAAGAGGACATCCAGATGGCCAACAGACACATGAAAC